TCTCTCTCTCTCTCTCTCTCTCTCTCTCTCTCTCTCTCTCTCTCCCCATACATACCAGAAGAAGCATCAGATCCCGTTACAGATGGTTATGAGCTACCATGTGGATGCTGGGAATTGAACTCTTAACCGCTGAGCCATCTCTCCAGCCCAATGAATCTTTAATAAACAAAACAAAACAAAACAAAACACCTAGAGAAGAAAACGGAAAACAAAACAAAACAAACCTCTTTATAGTTGTGTTTCCAGAAATCCTGAATGGGAGGGCCTGTAGAAGTAGTTTTTAAACTCATTCCTTGGAGTATCTGAAAGCCAAAGTAAAACTAATGAAAAGTTACTATGATTTAGAGGTTAAATTCCACAGTAGTTTTCCAGATACGTATATCTTGCTGTTGCACCAAGGATATGATAAAAGGTGTAAATATCTTGTCTACAAAAGGGGTTGTATATATTAAATTACCAAGTCTTAAATCATTCCAGGGGGCAAAGTGGGTGGCATGTTAACTGATCATTTATATGGACTCTCTCAAAAGCTACAGGGGACAAGCCTGCTATTCAAACAAAACACTTAAGTTCAGAGCTAATCTTAATAGAACGCCAACTTGCCTGTCTCTTCCGCCATTCAGTATTGACTTCCAGGAAATGGGAGAGAACTGTTGCAAAAGTTTTTGGGTTTGTCTTGAGACAGCGCTTTTATGTAGCGCAGACTAGCCTTGAATTGACAGCGTAGCCAAGGATGACCTTGGATTTCTGCTCTTTCTGTCTCCACCTCCTAAGTACTGAGATTATAGATACGTGCCACTCTGCTAGTGTAAGTGCTTCTGGAGATTCAGCCCAGGGCTTCATATGTGCTGGGCTAGTACTCTACAAACTGAGCAATATCCACAGCGCCTCCTAATAGATTTTCAAAGGAGCTCACTGGGACTCCTTGCAAGATGAAGGCTAGGCTTCTAGGCTTGTCTCAGAACCTGGTTTTGGAGTCTGTCGTAGACTGAGTACAAGTGGAAGCATATGGGGTATTTTATATTGCGGAGCGGAGCAGACACAGTGGTAGGGAGGCACCAGATAAGAGAGGGGTCAACTGCGTAAGTGTTCACGAAAGCACCATTTTAGTAAATGGGACAGCCATTGTTGGGAGGCAGCCTGGCGGGTGAGGCTAGACTATGAAGCGCCTCTCAGTTACTATGGTAGCCTTACCAAACCCCGCCCCTCTTTACTGGTCTAAGGAAAGACCGTCCTGAGTGGTCGTTTAAGGTTACTAGGAGGCTCCACCCTTCACTTTCTGCCCGCTGCCCCTCGAGTGGACTGCGTTCCCGCCTGCTTGGCAGGGGGAGGACGCGCGGTGGCGGCGGCGTCACATCCGGGCGGGTGAGTGAGTTCCGGTATTTCAGGGCGGAGCAGGCGGAAGTAGGGTGAAAAGCGGCTACAACGCCGAGCGGAGGAGCTAGGAACCTGATTTCCAGAAGCAGCTGGGTAGGCACCATGGCCGGGAACTCCACCATCGAGGCGGTAAAGCGCAAGATCCAGGTTCTGCAGCAGCAGGCTGATGATGCGGAGGAGAGGGCCGAGCGCCTCCAGCGGGAAGTGGAGGGAGAAAGGCGGGCCCGGGAGCAGGTACGCACGGAGAGCCGAGGCGCAGCAGGGAAGGGATCGGCGCCCCTCCGCTGTGCTCAGCTCCATGGAACCCTGGAAGCTCGGATTAGTGGTTGGGTGGGACTCGATTACGATGGCCCGGTAAGCGGGTGCGGAGGAAACTAAGTGCTTGCGCGAGGAGGCTAGACCCTGGAAAGAATCGAGCCCCGCGCGGCGCGGACTGCCCTCTCCTTTTCTCCCCCAGCTCATTCATTCGGTCCCTCGGAACCGGGCGCGGCCAGGGGAGGGGCTCAGCGGCCTTTCCCTCCCCCACTTCTCTGCGAAGGGTGGGGACCTTTTACTCTAGTTTGAGGTTTCCGGTCGGAGGGGTAGAAGTGAGTGAGTGCTCCTCTGGTCCGGGAGGGGCCGAGCTTAACCTGTGAAAAATGAGGGTGGGGAGGTGGGAACCGCCGGAAAACCCCCGACCTGGCCTACTGGCTGCTTTTCCGCTCCCTCCTCCTGCTCAGGAAATGAGCCAGCAGTTGGCTGAGAGGAAGCGCGGTTCCCTCCCTCACTGGCGGAGCTTAAGGCCAAGGCGCTTAAGCTCCATCCTCGAGCTTGGAGACCTTTTATAACTAACTGGTATGCCTGCCCCTCAGTTGTGAAGTGGGAGAGGAGCTGGTACTTCTCCCGTTGTTAGCAAATGTCGCAGCCAGCAAACTTACTAGACCCTGCCGATCATGACCTGGAAGGCAGGAACTTCTGCCAGATTCAGGTCTGAAGTGTGAGCAGTACAAATATGACTTAGAACATTTCTTCTAAGCTGGCTGATAAGGGAGTGTATAGCAGAGAGTCGAATGCCACGCCAGTTTCAAGGTTCCTGACTGATTGGAACACAGGAGGATGGGAACAGATTAGTGAGTGAGTGGCACTGGTGATTTCAGGGGAGGCTGTTTTCTCAGTTATACAATACAGAGGTTTTTGTTCAACTGAAAGTGTTAGTGGGATGAATGGATTCCTGCTTAGGACTTACTGAAAAAGCACTCTGGCGGCTTACTGGCGTTCTTTATTGGCGTCTTTTCTCTCTCTCTGCTGTTCATTTGAGAAGTAACAATCTTTTTGAGGGGGCACAAGAGGTGAGTGTGGAAAAGGAGGTCCCAGCTCCCTTCCAAGTTAATGTTGAAACGTTATTAAAATGCTTTATAACTGGGCGTAGAGAAGACAGAGCTTGTCTTCACATCACCCTTTCCTAGGCGTCCAGTATGATTGTTTTGAGACAGGTTGTCCCTTTGTATTCCCAGCAGTCCTCCTGCCTAAGTCTCCCAAGTGCTGGAATTACTGTAGGCTTGCTTGGCCACTCCTGGCATGCCTGCAACTTCTCCTTATCAGGTCTAGTGAGATTGCTGTAGAGATGAGGAAGTCTTCAGAAGGGAAAGTAGAGTGTACAGTGGAAGGAATTGGCCATGTGCTGCAGTGTTAGGCCAATGTCTGTGTGGGAGGTTTTAGGGTAGGTAGGGTATGTATGTCTGTCTGTCCCAGAGTTTGGTCTTTTTACTTGTGAGTGAATTTGGGACTTCTTTCTTCTGTGTGATGCCTCTGGGATGATAAGCCACAAGAGTGAGTGTGTTCACATGTTCAGGGCTTACCAAATGTGCTTATTTCACAGAAGTCTCCTGAGGAAGTCCTCAGAATGGGGAAGTGGGTGGTAGTTAAATATTGATGAAACCAGTATCTTCTTTTCCAGCTTTTGACTTTTTGCACTCTCGAACTTTGAGCCTCTACTGAAGAGTCATAGTAGGAAGGGGGATGCTTGAGTCACCTCTTGTCTAGGGCCACTGGAATGTGGATTTCGTAGGCTCCTGCCACACTACCTGCTGAAATCCTATGTTGTTATATTAGGAGACTGACTTTTTCCACTTTGTATGGGCATCTAAGCTGCCTTTGTTAAAGCTGGATATGACCAGAGCTGAGAGGCAAGTTCTGAGGCGGGACAGGCCTTTTATGGTATAGCTCCCTGTGAAGTTTTACTTTCAGTTTTGAGTTTGCTTTTATTTAGTAAGAGGGTTTTATTGTTTTGGGTTTTGTTTTTTTAAGCGGTGCTGGATCAGGCCTAGGGCCTTATGCTAGACAAGCTCTACCACTCAACTACACCTTGCTTTGTCTAAACCTCATTAGGTGACAATGCAAAAAAAAATTTTTTTTTTTTAAATTTTATGTATTCCCCATTACTCTCTTCAGACACACCAGAAGAGGGCATCAGACCCTATTACAGATGGGTGTGAGCCACCATGTGGTTGCTGGGAATTGAACTCAGGACCTAGAGGAACAGTCAGTGCTCTTAACCACTGAGCCATCTCTCCAGCCCTAAGATTCAAAATTTAAATGCGCTTATTGTTAGTGATAAACAGATGCATATGTGAGGCAGAGGCAGGCGGGTTTCTGAGTTCAAGGACAGCCAGGGCTACACAGAGAAACCCTGTCTCGAAAACAAACAAACAAACAAAACAGATGCATATGTAACATGAAAACTTACCTGTCCAGGCTGGCCTTGAATTACTGGACTCAAGTGATCCTTCTGCTTTGCCTCTGGAATAGTCTCCTCCCGTGTTCAACTGCCAGGCCTAGGCCTCCACTGTATAACCTTCCTTTCCTATTACTAATTTTATTCATATGTATGTATAGATGTCTGACCCCATTGCTGGAATTGCAGGTAGTTGTGGACGCATCTCCCACTCCCACCATGTAGTATGGAGCCAAAGTCTACAAGAGCAGTTCTACCTACTGAGCCATCTCTCTGGTCCCGCTGTAACCATTTTTTAGTGAATGATTTGTCTTACCCTTTACAAAATAATTTCTCTCTCCAAGTTTTCCATAGTATTTTTGACTTTCCCTTTTGTTATACCTTAAAACGCCGAGAGAAGGAGAGTGAGCTTTGAATTTGAATCCAGGTTCTTACTTTGAGCCTAAATTCTTGGTCTCCAAAGTGGGGTAGGACGTTTGGGTGTATGTTCATGTGTTTGGTGGACACGTAAGAAGCATGATGACCTCTCTTTGTGTTAGAGGTTTGGATTGCTTTGGCTGCTGGTTGCCTTTCTCTGCCCCCCCATTTCAGAGTACACTCCTCCAGGAGAGGCAAACAACACTTTGCTCTAAGTGTCTCTGCCTAGACTCCACCTTTGTTGACTCTAGGGCGGCAGATAATGCCAATCCCCAGCTTTCCTCCTGGGAGAGGTGTGTGTGTGTGTGTGTGCATGTGTGTGTGTGCGCGCGTGCACACGAGCGCAGACATAGCAGTCCTTTCTTCAGCACAGGCCTGGCTTTTTAAGTACTATCTCTACTTTGAATTACACCTGTGACTTTTATCTAAAACGGGAAACCCCAGTGTGGCAGAGTGCCAGACTTAGACTTCTCCCGTGTGTCCTTGGCCCTGCTCTGCCTCTGCCTCAGCTCCCACGGCTCCGTACATTAAGGGATATGGTATGATTTGGGGCTCTTTTCACATCAGACTATTATTGTCGTATGTATATGATGTTTGTGTGTCAGTACACACATACACATGCGCCGTAATGTGTGTTGAGGTCAGGGCACAGCTTTGGCGACTGTTCTCACCATTATATGGGTTCAGGGGATCAAGCCCAGGTTGTCAGGCTTGCACAGCAGGACAGCCCACTGTAGCATTTAAACCAAACTTCTGTCAAAGTCAAAGCTATCTTTTAAAGACCCATCTTTTAAAAGAGACTAAATGGCTGCTGCCTTCCACGGCCCGGATTTTGTCTCCTGAACAATGGAGACTCCTGTTACTGTTGAATGGAAGACCTCACACCGTATCCTCTTGTAGCCTCTAAATTGTGGGCAGGGGAGATAGGCAGGCTCTACTGGGCATTAGGTAAAATCTAAATCATGGGGGAAAAACATAAAGTGTACTGTTTCTCAGAATCAGGCTAGCCTGCCCCAGGGCCTGGAGTGACCTGCTGACCTGAGTGGCATGCGTGAGCTGTCGTCTTCCGTATTCCTTTGGAGGGAGGATCAGGTCTTGATTTTTGCAGCCTTTTGTTTCCTTGTAAGGAGAACTGCTCCACTGTAGGAGAAGTAGAATTTTCTGTCCTGAACCTACCACTCTCTGGTCTGTCTGAAGCTTTTCCTGGGACTCCTGAATCTTTGGTTCTTGTTTTAACAGAGGCTTGCTCTTACAAGAGCGAGATGTATTTTCTCTTCCTCTTTTTCTACCCTTGTGAAGAATTCAATTGTAAATGCTGTTTTGTAGGAGAAAGTGTCAGAGCCAGCTTGTTGCCATGGAAACTATACCCTGCCCCCATAGCCTGTTATCTTTTCCAGTTTGGGTAACGAGGAGCTGTGCTTCCTGCAGATCCAGCTGAATTTTTCTATTTTATTTAATTTCCCCCCCCCCTTAGGTTTATTGATTTTTATGTGTGTGAATGTTTTGCCTGCGTGGTGTGTGTGTGTGTGTGTGTGTGTGTGTGTGTGTGTGTGTGTGCCACATGTGCCTGGTGCCCATGGAAGTCAGAAGAGGGCTTTGGAGCCTCTGAAACTGGAATTATGGATGGTTGTAGATCACCGTGTGGGTGCTGGGAATCAAATCTGGGTTCTCTGTAAGAGCAACAAGTGGCTGTTAACTGCTGAACCATCTCTCCAGCCGCTCAGGCTGCATTCTTCATGTCTTTGTTTTAGCAATTGAAAAGGGTAAGTACTGTATGGTACTTAGAGTGTATGGAAACCCGGGTCTGGTAGCCTGGCTTGCTCTGGACTGGTTGGCCTTGTTGGGTTTGTGAGGATAAATCTGTGTTTTTCTTTCAGGACATCTGTTTTCCTAGAAGAGACAGAACTAGAGAATGCTTGCCTTTGTGGTGTTCTGAATGGTACAGTTAGGAACACAAATGGCTTCTTGAGAATTTCAATTTATGTAGACTTCTCAAACTTTTTCTGTATCCTTGTCTCCTGCCTCCTTTCCCAGTCTCCCGACTCTCTTATGTTTGTATGTGGAAATTTTTGTTGCAATCCTGATTGTTAGTAGGAATCTTATTCAGTTATATCCCTCCCCATAGGACTGATGGCCCAGATTCTTCAACTGCTACCACCCTTGACTGTTAAGAGGAAACCAGGGTAATAGAATTCAGGCACAGTCTGAGCTGGAGAGGAGAGCCAGAGCTCACCAGGATAGAAGCATTTGAACATCATCATGTGCAGCAAAGATCTTAAATTTGGTGTTTTTTATTAAAACATGGTCTCCCTGGGTAGCCCAAGTTGAACTCATGGTCCCTCTGCCCCTGTCTCCAGAGTGTTAGATTGTGGCCATGTATAATCCAATCTATGAGAACACGTTCCAGACTATGACAGTATACTAGCTATGTCTTTTTGTTTGTGTGTTTCTCACTCATAGCCAGTTCGTGACTTACTTGGACTTTTAACTTGTGCTTTGTTGTATATGAAGCCAAAGAAATTGTTAGGAATTATACTCAAGTCCAGTAAAGCTTAGTAGAAGGTTGTTGTAGGAATAGAAAGGCAGTCAGCCAGCCAGAGACGAGGCAGTAAGTGGAAGCTAGGTTTCTTGTTTGTTTTCATAAGGGAAGACACTGAAGGGGTGGGGTGGGGGGAAATATCCCAGAATGAGTGTGCACATGGAACAGAGTGTGTGTGGAGGTCAGGACAATTTATTTGTGGGGACTAGTTTTCTTTGTCTACCATGTGTTTCCCAGAGGTAGAGCTCAGGTCCTCAGTCTTGGCATCTGGTACCTTTAGCTGTTGAGTCATCTTTCCAGCCAAAGAGATCCCAATCTTGCATCCATCCTTTTTCCTTTTCCTGTCTGGAAAGCTGTCTGGAAGGCATTAGTTGGTCATCTTCCTGGTGTGTTCGGGGAAGGGGATCACAAGGTTAACAACTTAAACTGCAAGTTAAGTTAGCACATAGAGAGAAATATTATAAAGTGGTAGAAATACTAAATGTCAGGTATCCTGGTATGTGCCTGTAGTCCCAACACTCAGGAGGATCTGGAGTTGAAAGATAGAAGTCGCTGTCATCGAAGGAGAAGTCTGTCTCTAGCTGCTCTTTTGAGACAGGATCTCACTGTGTAGACCAGGACTAGACTGGCTTCAGATTCACTGAGCCCTACTTGTCTCCACCTCCTGCATGCCGAGATTGAAGGTGTGTGTCATCACACCTGCCTTTGTTGGCTCTTATAAATTCTGGGATTTGGGTTGAGTCCAGAAGAGAAAAGATGGTACTGTGTGGGTAAGGAACTGGATTTTAGAATGCTCTTCAGGACTGAGGGTACGTTCCAGTTGTTAGAGTGCTTGTCTGACATGCCTGAAACCCTGGGTCCTATTCCTCGCACAGCATAAACTGGATATTGTGGTACATATCTGTAATTCCAACACTTGGGATGTACTATATGGCACAGTCCGGCCTGCTTTGGCTGTATGAGATTAGTTCATATAAACAAAACATTTCATATAGAGCAAAGGGGAGTTCTTAGATAGGAAAGGAGAAACTGATTAATTAATAATCATGTATGTTAGATCTTTGAGCATTTAAGCCAAGACAAGGGTCTGTCTTGCTTACATGACTGGGTTCTTCATAGTAGTCATGTCTAGCCTTCTGTCACAGTGGGTTCTTGTCACCAAAAGTTGATTCTTTTCCATTTCCCATTGATTTAAGGCTGAAGCTGAGGTGGCCTCCTTGAACCGCAGGATCCAGCTAGTTGAAGAGGAGCTGGACCGTGCCCAGGAGCGCCTTGCCACTGCTTTGCAGAAGCTAGAGGAAGCGGAAAAGGCTGCTGATGAGAGTGAGAGGTGGGTGAATTCCAAAGGAATAGGCTGGCGGGGCAGCTGAGTGGAGCAGTCCTCACCTCCTTGCCCTGAGGTGGCCTGGGTTCCATCCCTGGCACTGCAGACAGTAGAGTTGATAGTGGCTCTGGCCTGGATTTCCCACTAGCCCTGTTTTTTGTTTTGTCTGAGGCATGGTCTCACGTAACCCAGACTGGCTTTGAACTCTTGAGCCTCCTGTCTCCACTTTTTTTTTTTTTTTTTTTAAAGATTTATTTATTTATTTTATTTATGAGTACACTGTCGCTGTCTTCGGACACACCAGAATAGGGCATCCAATCTCATTACGGATGGTTGTGAGCCACCATGTGGTTGCTGGGATTTGAACTCAGGACCTCTGGAAGAGCAGTCAGTGCTCTTAACCGCTGAGCCATCTCTCCAGCCCCTGTCTCCACTTTTTAATCGCTGAGATTGCAGGCCTGTGCCACTGTATCCTGGTCTAGACCCGCTTTTGTTTTTGCAAATTGAACACAGCATCTACCTTCTGTGCTAAGCACTCTCTACCACTGACTCCCAGCCCCTGAAACCTACTTTTTATTTATTTATTTTTATTGTTTGTTTGTTTGTTTGTTTGTTTGTTTGAGACAGGGTTTCTCTGTGTGGTTCTGGCTGTCCTGGAACTCACTCTGTAGACCAGGCTGGCCTCGAACTCAGAAATCCGCATATCTCTGCCTCCCAAGTGCTGGGATTAAAGGCGTGTGCCACCACTGCCTGGCGAACTACTTTTTAAATGGTAGTGATTTTATATTACTTTTATTTTGTACTATGGGAATTGAGCTGGGGCCTTGCACATACCGGACACCGGCTGTATCCCTAGCCCAAATTTGTTTGTTTTTAAATGGTACATGTGCTCAAGTGCTATTGAATTTCCATTTGGGCGGCAAGCAGGAATGGACTCTGAAGGGTGTGGTTTTGAGTTTTGGGATGGAGTTGACGCACAGCTCTGAATGTCATTGCTGTGTTCATTTTTTCATTCTGTTTCTGGCAGAGGTATGAAGGTGATTGAAAATCGGGCTCTAAAAGATGAAGAAAAGATGGAACTCCAGGAAATCCAGCTAAAGGAAGCAAAGCACATTGCAGAAGAGGCAGATAGGAAGTATGAAGAGGTGAGTAACCTCTGCGGTGCAGGCTCTGCACAGATAGTCATGAGGGATGTCACCCTGGCTTGCTTGAGTGTACTGGGTCTTTTCTTCCAGGTGGCTCGTAAGTTGGTGATTATCGAAGGAGACTTGGAACGTACGGAGGAACGCGCCGAGCTTGCAGAGTCGTGAGTATTTTGTCTCCAGATCTTGTCGGCTCATCCTGCCTGCTTGGGCACTAATTCCAAGTAAAATAGCCTTCCTTCGACCTTGTTAAACAGGCCCGGGAGGGTGGTAGTCCTTTGTAGTGCTTTTAGCCTCTAAAAATAAATGGCTCTGGGCTTTCTCTTACATTGACTAGTTAATAGGGAGCAAGGCTTGCTTATTCTTTGGAAGATTCTCAAATAGAGGGAACATAGAGACTAATATGGCTAACAGCTAGTTGGAAGATCCTGTTGGGTCTTTCTACCTGGAATTTCTTCCTCCTTGGCCTGTACTGATTTCAGACCTGGTCTCTGTTTTTACACACTTTGCCAATCTGCCTGGGAACTTGAGAGCAAAGGCTTTAGAGAAATCACCTGCTGCCCATTGGTACCGGCTTGGCCTTGTGTAACAAAGTCAGCATGGATGAGTATCAGTTATGCTTGCCTCGCATTGCCTGGCTCTTCAGACATGACATATCATGACCATGGTGGTGCTTTCTTCTCATCTGTCTGTTGTTCTGACCCACCCCACACCCCATTGTACGGCTTGTTTCTTGCTCTTCCTTTTTTAACCTTTTCCCCACAACCTGGCTTGTGCCATTCCCGTGACTGTCACTAACAGCCGTTGCCGAGAGATGGATGAGCAGATCAGACTGATGGACCAGAACCTGAAGTGTCTGAGTGCTGCTGAAGAAAAGGTACTAACCCTGAACCCACACACGGAGACCTTCCGTGTGTGTGGTATGTTCTCCTTTGGTTTGGTTTTGTTTTGCAGCTGCCTCCCTCCACCAGTTGATTTGTTGAGTGCGTTTTCATCTCTCCATGGAATGCTCCATTCTTCCTTTCCACTTACTTGGCATCTCTCATCTCTTCTTTCCTAGTTGCTTCACTGCCTTCCCCCTGAGGGTCTCTGCCTCCCCTGGGTGATTTGGGGGGTTGTTTGGGTTGGGCATCGTCCCCACATCCACACCCAAGTAGCAGTTGTAACTTTTTCCTGGTAGTGAGTGATTTCTCTCAAGTGTTCTTTCTTTATCAGAGCCAAACACTCCGAGCACAGGAAGGCCAGCTCCTGGCATCCATGTTCCATGGTAGGGGGAGGAGGGTTGATACTTGCTCAGGTTACCCAGAAACTTTTCCTCCCTAATATGCAGCCCAGCTCTCTCTACACATAGGTTCAATTCACATCTGTGTGTCTCTCTCCCTTTTTTTTATTTCTTCCTCTTTCCCCTTTCCTCTCCTGCGGTATTTAAAATGTTCACAGTAAGTGTTCTGAGCTGGAGGAGGAGCTGAAGAATGTCACCAACAACCTCAAGTCTCTTGAGGCTCAGGCGGAGAAGGTAGGGCTGGTTTGTGAAGATGACAGGCTTTGGGGCTTGGGCCCAGCCCTGCCCTTAATGAAAGACTTACCCATTCCGTATAACCCAGTGAAAAGCATTCTCTTCCTTCCCACCTTTGTCCATCAGAGTGTAGGTTAATGCTAATTCCTATGTGCCCCCATTGCTCAAGTTCAAAAAACTCTGTGGTCTGCAGTGCCTAGAGTTGTGTGCTCCTTGAGCTGATACTGCTGTGCTCAAAGCTATAAGGAGCATCAGATGGCGGCAGCAAAGCACCAACTCCTGAGACCTACCTAGTAGCAGTCAAGGCAATGATTGCCACTTACCATCATGAGGGAGTGCTTTAACTGTAGATTCTTGCTGGTTACAAAGGAAAAACACTTTGGGTTGATAGGAATAAGATTAAAATTTAGGTCTGTTGACAAAAGCAAAAGAGAGTCCTGGTGGAATTTACTCTGGAAGTTTGGTTTAGAAATGGTTGGGTCAGCCGGGCAGTGGTGGCTCACGCCTTTAATCCCAGCACTTGGGAGGCAGAGGTAGGCAGATTTCTGAGTTCGAGGCCAGCCTGGTCTACAGAGTGAGTTCCAGGACAGCCAGGGCTACACAGAGAAACCCTGTCTCGAAAACAAAGCAAAACAAAAAAACAAAAAACAAAAAAAAAAAAAAAGAAATGGTTGGGTCTTGGGACCCATTGTCAGAAAGTGGTCCTTGCTTTTAGTCCTGGACCAAATCAAATCCAAGAGAATGTCTATGGCTTGTATGAGAATTCTATAGCTATTGTCTGTGAGACAGTCTCTACTCTGAAATTTGTATTCTATTTTCTTAACAGTACTCTCAAAAAGAAGACAAGTATGAAGAAGAAATAAAGATTCTTACTGATAAACTCAAGGAGGTGAGCTGAGGGGCTGACCCACATGGAGAGATATAAAGCATTAATATTAATCATGATTGAGCCTTGTTGGCCTTGGTTCTGAATGGCTGGCCTAGAGGCATGAGGGCAAGAAATAACCATCTTCTGATTGTTGTACTTCCTCAGGCAGAGACCCGTGCTGAGTTTGCTGAAAGATCGGTAGCCAAGCTGGAAAAGACCATTGATGACTTGGAAGGTACGGAGCACTTGAGGGAGCGCGGGAAAGGCCTGACCCTTTCATCTTGAGCCTTTTGTCTGTTCATCAGAGAATTGGTAGTGACTTGGAATATTGGATGCGTCCTGTCCTGTGTTACAGCTAGACAAAACACATCAGGATTTTATATCTTCTCCTTTATAGTAAGACTGCTTATTTCTGGAATCTGTCGTCTTTCCCTTGAAAAGATGTATTGACTGTATTTATCTTCAACTTAATAATCTTAAATATCTTAAATCTTGACTCTGTGAGTTTAAAGGGAAGCCATGATTTTTAGAAAGTAGTGAAGTTGTGCATGCCACCCTGTGGCCACCATTGGGTGTTTCTTTTATCATTCAGGCTGGATGATACCTGCAGGAGATAGCAACCAAGTCCCACAGCCTGAACAGATCGAATAGTCAGGGCTTCTTGTTCTTGTAGTTTGGCAGCTTTGTCTGTCCACCTTAACAAAGAAGGAAGTCTTTTGCTTTGAGAACTTTCTTGACACGTTCTTGGTGACTGGATGTTCTTTGAAGGGGTTTGGGGAGGCGGTTGTAGAGCCATGAGTAATGATCACCCTGAGTGGGCAGAGAAGAGTCACCAAGACTGTGTGCTTTCTCCCTTTTTTGTCTTAAGTGTTGTCACTGCTTCAGAATTGGGGACCTGTAGGAGCTGGCATGTGTTCAGGTTCTCATTCTTGCTGCAGTTGAAGAGACATCAGGAAGTAATGTTGGCAGTTGGGGAAAATAGATTGAAAATGGCCAGTCATGGCTGTAGAATAGTTTTTTGTTTTTGTTTTTCCAGAATAGTTTGTTTTTTCTTCCTGGTTTTAGACCTACAGTCATGTTTTCCTATTTTCTAATGACTCCCTCTCTTCATCTGCTTCTGATACCTTTCACTTTATCCCCTCCATCATCCCTGTGGTTCCTGTGCCTGTCCAGACGAGCTCTATGCCCAGAAACTGAAGTACAAGGCCATTAGCGACGAGCTGGACCACGCCCTCAATGACATGACCTCTATGTAACTATCAGGCAGCAGAGTGGGGTTGGGATCCTGGCGTGTGGGTGAGGGTGCGGCTTCACAGACTGTGCTTGGGTTTTGTCCTTGAATCTGCAGCCTCCACCCATTTGCAAACAAACGCTGGTGCTGGTTATCTGTTTGGCAGAACCTGGGGAGGCTTTTAATCTCGATGTAATTTGTATTCTCTCCTATTCTCCCATCTAGTTCTAACAGAGTCTAATTATATAAGCAATGTTGCCCTGAGACTCCAAATTCTCCCGATTCACCCTCAGTCTCTAAGGTGACAGTCATGTGCCACTGTGCCCAGCTCTCCTTCACGCTGAGTTTTCACTTTAGTTTCTCAAACCTAACATGGTGACACAACTGTAAGCCATGCCATCTAGATGCTAAAGCAGAAGGATTGGTGCGGATTGAAGGCCAGCTAATGCCAGTGGCAAGACAGTCTCAAAAGCAAGACATAGAATGGTCTAGGCAGCACTCACCTTTACTCCTGGCATAGGCAGTTGGCGCTCCTGGGCTAGTGAGTTCCAGCACTGCCACGGTTATGTGTTGACTTGTGCCCTGATACTAAAGTTAATGGGACATACCCAGGCTGAGAAGCAGCCAGTTTAAGAATTGAGCTGAGTCCCAAAGCAAGCCAAGCAGTAAATAGCACCAAAAGTTTTGGGGTACTTAACCTGTTTGCTGTGGCTCTGTTTAGTGCTGACCTGCATCGTCTTCCCACTAACCCTGGGAGAGTGTTGCAGCCTCTGTGTCTGGCTCTCTCCTGCTGCTGTCGCCCCGTTCCTTCTTCCTAAGCTGCTGCCTCTGTTGAGCCAGCCCTTCTCACCTGGAGTGTCCTTTTTCATACAGATAAACTGTCACCGTTTCTGCTCTGTTCTGGATCTACCCACTTTCCTTGGGGAACCCAACACCCCACTCGCTCTGGATTCCATTTGGGTCAGCCTGGCTGGTTCCCACAGCCTTAGGGCTGGAGTGCCTGGAGGGGGCACAAAGCAATTTACATATTTGATTTCAACTACCCCCACCCCATATTAAAATGTTGAGCTGCCAGAAGGAAGCCCCATGCTCTCCTGCATTTATGTTATTGACAGAGCTGTTGCTGCACATAAGGAGCCCTGCTGGTGTGATGTGGGGACAGCTGTATTAGGCTTTTCTTCTTCTGACTTCTGTATGATCAAAGCTATTTTGTGTGTGTGTGTTTCTTGACACTTAAACCTGTTAATTGGAGTCTTGGAGTGACCAGTAAAGGTTCCTCATGGTAGGAAGTCTTGTACTTCCTCAAGTCTTGTACTTCAGAGTCCTTACATAGTCCGCCTGGACATTTTCATTCTTTTAGCCCCTCTCCTATACAATAAGGTCAGCAATCATTGAATTATCTCCTAATACTCTACTCTTGTGCCAAAGATTCAGAGACTGCATCCCCAGATCCATCCTTACAGTTGAATAATTCTGTCATCCAAACTCACAGAAGAAGGTGTAACATGGTGGGTTGGATTCTTGATGGATGGGTGTTTCATCTTTAAACCTTTCTCACTCAGTTGAGGCTGCTGCCATTTGTTCCACTTTGTTCTCTAGCGAGATAGGAAGCACATGGTAAATGGTGGTCAAAAGGAAGACAACCAATCATGCATATTTCAAACAACATACACATGAGGGTAATGACTATTAAATTTCTATCGTGGTATATATTGTAGAATTGAATAGCAACAGCTGTTCCAGTTTATACAGCAGATAAATTTGGTGTCACAGCTAAATGCTACATAGTTTTTCATATTCTTAGCAGGGTACATATTTGAAACTCATTTTTTCAGTATCCAGGGCTGTGAATGTGGCACAAGGGGAGAGTGTCACCCAATGTATACAAGGCCTGAGTTTGAACTCCAGTACGACAAAGAGAGAAAGGGAAGGTATAGCTAGGTAGAAAAATTCTCTTCCAAGCCAGGTTCCTTTGCCTACACTATTTCTTCCTGCCATATAGCCTTTGAGATTAAGTAGAGGTTGGTTTATTTGTCAGGTCCTGGTGTTTTCTAGCTGTCCTGTCCTGCTAGACATAATGCAGCTGAGGAACCTCCTGCACTAGAGTTTCTCAGAGTTAAAGGAGAAGCACGAAGTTAAAGCTGCTGTGTGAGCTGTAAACAGTTTGAGGTGCTAATTGGGAGGGGCACTGGTCTCATGGTGACCCCAAATTAAAATTTTTGAGCTCTTTGTCTTTTTGAGAGAGTATTATACTATCCCTGGATGTCCTCGAACTCAGTCTATGCCCAAGCTGCCCTTGAGCTCATGGCAGTCCTTCCTTTGTCTCCTAAGACAGGCACCACCAACTGTACCGAGAGCTTAGATGAGGTGTGCTCATTGTGTTTGGTTTGGTGATGCAGAATTCTAAACCCAGAGCCTTGAACCTTCCAAGCAAGCATTTACCATTGAGCTACGTCACCAGCCCCAGGATTAGCTTTTAATGAGCAGAATGCAGTTTGGAGATAGTCAGTACTCAGTATTCTAGTTACAGAAAAACAAGGTGAAAAAGCATCACTGGAGAAGAATGAGTGGCTGTGAGGTAGGTTTGGGGGCAGGACGGCTGCTGACGTGCAGCAGGGAAGCTCTGTTCTTGTCAGATAACTAACTGATGGAGATGCCACTGTAGATTATGAACAAGCGTGTGCTACGAGAAGAGTGAAAGTTATTATATCTGGGCATGGTGGGTAACCCTGTACCCGGCATTCAGGAGACTGAGGAAGGAAGATCAAAAGTTTAAGCCACACTAAACTACATAACAAGACCCTGGGTCAAAAATAAACAAGACTGGGTGTGGTAGTATATACGTTTAATCCTAGCAGATGAATCTCTGAGTTCCAGGCCAGTCTGGTCTACATATCAAGTTCTGGGCCAGCCAGTATAGTGAGATTCTTTTAAGACAACTTTTGCTGGGTGGTACCTGCCTTTATTCCCAGCACTTAGAAGGCAAAGGCTGGCAGACGTGAGTTCGAGACAAGCTTGGTCTACAGAACCAGTCCCAGGACAGCTAGGGCTACACCAAGAAACACTGCCCAAAAAACTTTTTTCCAAGTAAAACATAGTATATTTGGTGTGCATTTATATGTGTATGCTGGATTGAGAATGCATTAGCAAAGTGTGCTGGCCCCAAATTCCAGCTGTTTGCTATCATTGTGCTAGCTGATACTGGTCTGCTATCTTTGTTGTCTTCAAATTGACTCTTGCTTTTAAAATGTTTTGAAGTTCAAAAGATAAACAGTACCATGCACACACCACTAATGAAGAATATGCTGACCTTCAGAAAATGCTAGGTTAGGTTGAAGATGTTATCTGTTAAGTTTTCCGAGCCTGGGTCTTACTGTGTATCCTAGGCTAACCTTAGCCTCCAAAGTGCTGGTTAACAGGCATACACAGCCATGCCTGGTAAGATAAACACTTTGACAACACCTGACAACTAAGTGTGCAGAGGTGAAGTTAGGTAACTATTTGAGGCTGAGAAAGTGATCGTGTGAAAAGATGTAGGGAGCTAATGGCCTGGTTTGGGATTTGGGAAGCAAGAGGAGTGTCTGAGAAACTGACAGGTGTGCAGGTGAAAGCAAGACCCCGAGGCTGGGGGAGGAGCTGATAGAGATTTTGGAATCCAAAGGGATTGCAAGGTGTTTTAAGTTACACAAACATCTTAGAACCATAAAGATGCCAGTCATGGTGCTACATGCCTTTAATCCCATCACTCAGAGGCAGAGGCAGGCCAGTCTACGTAGTTCTAGGTCAGCCAGTGCTACATAGAGAGACCCTGTCTAAAAAGAAAAGCCGGGCCGTGGTGGCGCACGCCTTTAATCCCAGCACTTGGGAGGCAGAGGCAGGCGGATTTCTGAGTTCGAGGCCAGCCTGGTCTACAGAGTGAACTCCAGGACAGCCAGAACTACACAGAAACTCTGTCTGGAAAAACAAAACAAACAAATAAATAAATAAAATAAAAGAAAGAAAAAAAAGATAGAGGAGGAGGAGGAAAGCAAAATCAACAACTGCAGACGTGGAAGGGTTAAATGAGGAGAAAAGCTTAGTTGTCAGGAAGTCAAAGGGACTTCTTTGAAGGGATAAAGGGGAGGGACTGATGGCGGGGCTGAGTGTTCTCAGCTCCCGCAGATAGACTGAGAAGGAGGGAAGTGCGGTGGGCATCCACTGCTCTAGTAATTTGAGGGTATGTTTGGAGAATTGGGCTCAACTGTAGGCAGAAAGTGGTCATGCCCAGTAGAATCTGACCGTTGATGTCTAGTGTGACAGCCACTTGTTTCTGTTATGTCTTGTGGTGAGACTAGAATCCAGTTTTATTTATTTTTAAATGAATAAAGTTCATTTAAATTTAAGTAATCCCATGAGCCTCCTTCCTTGAACACACTGTGGTTCCTTGGGTTCTTTTTTTGTTTTGTTTTGTTTTTGTGGATCCTGCATGCATGACATGGCATGCATATTCACAGTGGAGGTCAGAGGGGGACTTGTAGGGATTGGTTCCTCTCAGATCTTTCCAAGTCAGGTCATCAGGCTTAGCAGCAAGTGTCCACTGAGTTGTCTTGCTGGCCCATCTTTGGAATTCTTTGGTTGAGCATGGCCAGAATTGAGCCAGAATCCCACTTTACCCTATTTTGGTGCTATCAGGAACTAAGAGCTTTTAATGAACTAATAATATCTGATCCTGACAGTTTAGTCATTAGAAATAGTTATAAGTTAAGTTCAAACTCAGAAACAGAAACATTTCTTACAATGCAGATTTTAGGGAACTCTGTCCTAGGATTAATTCTCTCTCTCTCTCTCTCTCTTTTTTTTTTTTTTTTTTTTTTTGAGACAGGGTTTCTCTGTGTAGCCTTGGCTGTTCTGTAGACCAGGCTAGCCTCGAACTCAGAAATCTGCCCGCCTCTGCCTCCCAAGTGCTGGGAATAAAGGCGTGCGCCACCACTGCCCGGCCCGGGATTAATTCTGTTAGGCAATAAAGTCTATTTCATTATCATTTCTGTAAATGGAACCATCTGTTGAAAGGAACAAGATTCTGGTACTTAACTTTTTTTCCAAAAACAGGTGTGGGAGGTCAAACTAAGTTGGATATGGATGAGATATAGCTATAGTGACACAGGTTGAGGGGTGAGAGCCGAGAGTTTGAGTGCCTACTATCTCTCAAGAATGTCCTGAATTAAACAGGCCCAACACTGAGCCTCTAGAAGCTTATTGACTACTCTTGTTCTGTCATGTAGGATAGGATCATTCTGGTGTACACAGAAAGATTCTGCACATTCACATATTGATGTCCTCTGGCAGTATATATCTGTAGAACCTTCTGGTCACTGACAGCCAAAGCCTGTCTGTGGCCAGTCATGGAGGAACACATCTGTAGTTAAAGCAGGCAGAGGCAGGAGGATTCCACAAGTTTGAAGCCAGCCCAAAACAAATAACCATTGGGGTGGAGGGTGTCGGCCCCTGGAGCATGCCTTTACAAAATTCCCGTATTCTTCCCTGGGGGAGGGGGGATGGTGCCAGTTACTCAGTGGTTTGTTTCTGTGATCAGTCCCAGCAAGAGACCAAGACCTAGCTTTAAAATGAAACCATGTCTCAAGTTGAAACAAGCTCTAAAACATAGGAAGTTGAACTTAAACTAGGAATTCAAGCAGGTCCTTAAGAAGAACATCCAGTGGTGCGGTGGGGGTGCAGCTCTGAATTGGAGCCCAGCTTGGTCTAAAGTGAGTTACTGGACAGCCAGAGCTATGTAGTGAGACCCTGTCTTAGGGGGGAAAAAAACAGAAAATCATCTGAGTTTCAGAGACTCATAGTAGGGTGGACCAAGAGTAGTTTAGTTTTCTTGTATCTCTGGGTTTAGGATTATCTACAGCTGGGTGGAGTGATACACACCTATAATTTCAGTTATTTTTGGAGGCTATAGTTTCAACATGGGGTTTGAAATGAGCCAGTGCAACAGAGCAAGGTCCTATCTCATTGGGGTCTGGGAAGAGTCTAAAATCTTCATACTTCATTTCCTCTTAAGTTGTTCTCGAAGTAAAAAGCCTAGATAAAGGCACTGGACCTGAGCACTGATTAAATGTACATTTAAGTAATGTTTTAGGTTATAAGAAAAAGACTTAGAGCATGGAATTATTTTTATACCTAACAAATCTAGCCACTAATGAGTAGCTGTAGTCTTAGATTTTTTCAAGATTGAAATACATAGTACTGGACATCACATTTATATTCAAAGCAAGAGAGAAATCTTAAAATTTTCTCATGAGCCCCAGCTTCCCCTACATCTCACTGGCCTTAGTTGGAATCTGTGACCACCTTTGGCAAGGAGACAATATAATGTTCTTTAAATCAGTTGTTTATTATGGGGGTGTTTTGGCTGTCTTTATGTTTGTACACCACATGCATGCCTGGTGCCTGCGGAGGCCAGAAGGTATTGATTCCCTGGGACTGTAGTTACAGGTGGTTAATGAGGTGCTATGTGGGTGCTGGGAAATGAACCCAGGTCCTCTAGAAGAGCATCCAACTCTCTAAACCCATAGTAGTCATAATTAACTTATATCCTTTAAGCACTGTGTATACTGCTGACTCAAATAGATTGAGTTTTTTATGTAAAAGGGGAACCTGACCATGAATTGGGGAGGACTTTAGGATGTCTTTGTTATACTACACTGCGTATGAAGTATGAGAGTGAAGGTCAAGTGGGTGAGGTAGTTATGTATAGTGTTCCCTTTGGGTTTCCTAAGCCCTCATGGTTGAATGCCTTTTCCTAAGTGCACTGTATCTGCCATGTGACCGTCCCAGCCCAGGCACAGATGCTGTGAAGGAAGTGTGTTTTCACATTAAGAATGGTCCTGCAGCTGAAATTCTTACTGTATTCCTTGTTGGTCTTTCAACCAACTGGCTCACTCTTCCTGCCCTGGGTCCTCTTACTCTCCTGCCGAATGGTGCATGTTACATAGACCAGCTAGGTGAAAGACACGTTTGCTTCTGCCTTCTACTAACCTCCCCTTTTCTCTCTCTCCTCCTGTTTCTCCTTTCCTCTTCCCCTCTCTGTTGCTGCTGCAGAGCGCCTCTACAGCCAACTTGAGCGAAACCGCCTGCTTTCTAATGAGCTGAAGCTAACGCTGCATGGTCTTTGTGACTGACGGGCAGGGCTCCCTGATGCCCAGTAAACCCACACCACTGACCTGGACCCAGCAAAAAGCTGATTGCCTTTTTAAAAGTTACTGTCCGCCCTAAGCAAGTTGCTTTTTAATAGGGCAGCTAGACTACTGTTGATATCCTGGCACCCCCATCCCGATGCCGTGGCTATTTCTATTCTAGAAGAGATTATGGGTGATGAAGAAGGGGTCTGGGAGATTTAGTGTGGAATTTGGAAACCATTAGCTGCAGCCCTCTCACCTGTACACTGACTGTAGGGTTTGCTTTCCTGCATGGATATTTTCTAACAATAAAAACACTGACTTGACACGATGTTGTAACTGCTTCATCTGCAGGCCCTGAGGTGGCTCTTCTGATTGGGTGGAAACAGGGATGGGCAAGAAGGGTGTATGGTATGAAAATGGGCCTGATTTTGCGCGTTTTCTTTCCTTCCCTGAAGCTCTGTGGTTTATTTGCTAAGCAGGTTAATGCTTGGTGTCCTACCACTAGCTTTCTTCCTGATAGTTTTCCTTCTTGCTGCTTTTGTTTGGTTATAAGTCGCTGTCTGGGTCAGCTCTGTTGATAACTGCTAAAATCTCAGTGGGGCTTTACTTAAAAGAATGCGTCTGAATAGTATTCTTGACTTAAACCTGAGGACTCCTGTCCTCTCCACTTTGAAGAAAGTACCTATTGTAGGAGGATCCTGTGCTCTTTACTTGAGATTTTGATCTTTGTCCTTGTCTGCCATGGTCACACTCTACTGTGGCATTTCTAGTAGGTAATGACCTGTGGACAGAGTCTGAGTGGGTGGGTGCCTGGGGCTTTCAGCCGGATCCTTCTGAGACTGAAAGCTGAATGTCTTTTGGTTGCCTGTTGGAGGGAGAGGAAATGGCAGATAAGCCCAGCTCCCTCCCCCAGGTAGGAGAGAAACTCTGAGGCAAGCTACAGACCCCACAGAACTTAGGGTTGTAGTAGCTGCATTTTGTTACCTTCTTTGCACCTGGAGCAAATCTCAGAATGGGGAGAACTTGGAACTTTCTGTAACTTCTCTTCTTTATTCCCACTAGATAAGCTGAAGTGCACCAAAGAGGAGCATCTCTGTACACAAAGGATGCTGGACCAGACCCTGCTGGACCTGAATGAGATGTAGACCTCCCCCATCCCTGCCCTGCGGCCTCTCTTCCCTCTGACCTTGACTCCCGTCTGTGGCCAGCCTCCCAGAAGCTGACCTTGAAACTGAGGGCTGATCTTTTTAACTGAAGGCTGCTTTCCCTCCTGTCACCCCCTTCTACCCTTCTTGTCTTTTTCACAAAACTGTGTCAGCCTCTTCCCAGAGTTCCAGCTGGAGGGGCTGAACACCTTTGGGAACAATATTTAAGGGAATGTGAGCACAACGCAAAGTGTCCTCAATGCAGTTGTGATATGCACATTGTGGTTACTTTTTGTCTTAGCAACCCTTTTTAACATTCCAAGCACTTCTGCAGCTTGGAGCAGCACATTTTAGCCTAATGGATACTGTCTCACCATGGAGGAGAAGCACAGGAATGGGCCTGCCTTCCTGAGAGCCAGCAGAGCCCAGGCAGGCTCCACTGTGGGAGACCTCAGTGCTCTGCACTGCGTCTTAGCCAAACAACGGGGATTCTAGGAAGTTAGCCAAAAACAAAAAACTCTTCCGGGCTGTGAAGGGTTTCAGCTTTGATATCTTTGAACAACTTTTACACTTATTTTATTTTTTACTTTTTCCATCAAATGTGACCAAATAAGACGCTGAGACAGCCCCACCTCCCAGGGCCACATGCATGTTAGGCAAGCGTGCTACCATTCAGCCCAGTCCTGAGCCCAAACTTGTCTGAGCTCCACCCCTTCCCCAACTGCTCAAAATGGATCATGCTGCTCCTTAGTGTTGTGGTGACCTCTTAGTGTTCACCTGCCCCCAAGGGAGACAGAGAAGGAGAATTATGTTTGTGCCACTGATTTAGCCACATGAAAGGCATCTCATCGCCCTTTTCCTGAAGCTGCTGTCTCTAAAGTGCCATCTCATTGTGCTTTGTATCAGTCAGTGCTGGAGAAATCTTGAATAGCTTATGTAAAAAAAAATAAGAACTTTTTAAATTTTATATTATTTTGAAATTTTGTTTTGGGGGGGTTGGGTTACCTTGGCCAACCCATTGGCTGTGAGGATTCTTTGCAGTCTGTGGGCTAGTGGTATGCTGATCTTTCAAGTGTCCCCACCCAATTGCCATCCATGTTCAGGTGGTTTCTTCTCGGCCTGTTAGGTGGGCACCCTGCAGATTCCTGGCTTGTTTGTACTCTCCTCTGACCGGAGAAAGAGAACCCTGTAGTGCAACTGTTTTGATACTGAATATTGACAAGTGACATTTTGAAATAAAGAACCAGTCCCTCCACAATCAGACCTACTTGATTTTATTAAATGCAGTGCACTTTCTCCACAGGGCTATATGGACCCCGTTGACAGAGCACACAGCAAAATAACATGGGTTCAGAATCTGGCTGTAGGGTTTAGGAGGTAGCACCCTTGATAAAGTGATTGCCCAAGCACAAGGACTTGAGTTAGGTCTCCAGTGCCCGTATAAAAACGAAGTACAGCACACCATCCATAGTCCCAGCCCACCAGACTAGACAGGAGCATCCTGGGGCTTACTCGCCAGCCAGTTAGCCCACTCAGTAAGCTTCAAGTTCAGTTAAGACCTTCAAACGGTTGGGCATGGCATTATACACCTTAAGTCTCAGCACTCAGGAGGCACAGGCGTGCTGATCTCTGGAGTTTGAAGCCAGCCTGGTTTATGTAGTTAGTTTCAGGACAGCCAAGGCTACACAGAGAGACCAAGTCCTGAAAAATAAAGGCTTGTCTCCAGAAATAACCGTGTGCTGGAGAGGTGCCTCAGGGATTAGGAGCCCTTGCTTGTGCTGGCTTTAATACCGGGGGATCTGAGGACTGCACTTAAGCAAGCTCACACACAGATGCGTTAGATTTTTTTTTTTTCTTTTTAATGAGAGGGTTTTTCTGTATAGGCCAGGCTATCCTAGAACTCACTACATAGACAAGCTCAAATAGCTGCCCTCAAATTCAAGAGCTCTGCCTGCCTCTGCTGCTTCCCATGTGCTAGGGTTAAAGGTGTGTACCTCCATACCTGGCATAAAAATGAATTTAAAACTTTTTCAAAAAGTTAGCATTTGAGGAAAGCATATAGGGTTGGTTGGCTTCTATCTTTTACATAAACACTTGTGTTTTGAGATAATTTCAGTACATAACTCTGGCTAGCCTAGTACCTAATGTAAACTAGGGTGTTCTCAAACTCAGATCCATCTGTCTGCTTTCCAAGTTCTGGGGTTAAGGGGACAAGCTACCATGTGTAGCTTTAAAATATTTCTTTTTTTATAAACATTATTACTGTTTTGGTGTTTGTTTGTTTGTTTGTTTTTGAGATAGGGTTTCTCCATGTAGTCCTGGCTGTCTTGGAACTCACTACACATAGACCCGACTGGCCTAGAATTCAGAACAGCTTGCCTTGCATATTGAGTGCTGGGATTAAAAGGTGTGTGCCACCACCCCCAGCTCCTAAATTCCTGGGTGTGCCAAACATGAAGGCTGATTGTCATTCCTGCAAGGGTGGGGAGATGAAGCCAGAGATGAGATTACTACAGATTTGAGGCCATTCTGGGCTGCATAATAAATTCCAGATCAGCCTGGACTGTAAAGTGAAACAGCCTCTAATCATAGGAAACCAGTGAGATGGCTCAGTGGTTCAAGGCACCTGCTGGCCAAGCCTAATGACCTGAGTTTGATCCCCATGATCTATACAGTAAAAGGAGTGACTCCTGCTGGTCAGTTTCTGATAGCTACACTCATGCTATGACATGCAGGTACTAACAAGTGTAGTTATATGCACGCCCAAGTGTTAAAGGCATGGTGAAAGTATGTCCAGTTTAAATCTTTAAATGCCATCTCTTATAGAACGGAGGCATCATGAAGACAGATCACATGATCTAACACTGAAGTCACTACAACCATATGAACTCCATGAACTCTTCACACTCCAGAATATTATTTTGAGTACTTGCAGAAAACAAGGCTTTTTAGATTTATTTTGTTTATGCTCTGTATGGGGAGGGGATTTCATGGGGCCAGAGGACAACATCGGGTGTTTTCCTCAGTTTTCTCTCTTGAGACTGTGTGTGTGTGTGTGTGTGTGTGTGTGTGTGTGTGTTTTCACAGATTCAGCTAGATTGGCTGACACTCAAGGCCCTTCTGTCTCCGCCTCCCCAGTGTGCTGGGGTGAGAGGCATGCTGCACCCTGTTTTATGTGAGTACTGGGAACTCAAGTCATTCTTGGACAGGCACTTCACTGAACACCAGTGAACAGAACGGAGAGGGTTTTATTTTTTAGACTAGGCTTCTTGATCCTCTGCCTCCTGATGACTGAGATTATGGGTGTGTGGTACCACATCCACTAGCAAACAAGTGCTCCCAGGGAGTATTTTGCTGAGTCAGGTTGTTTGAGACAACGGCTTTTCAACTTGCTTCTGAGGCCAGTGTCTGGTGTTTCTTTGCACTGTGGTCTTGAAGCAGGACATAAATCTGATTCCCAATAAAAATAACATACTTACCTAGACAAAGGCCAGCTGTTTAGCTAGAGACTGGAACTTTTTTCCATTTAGAACTAATGTTGACTGGAAATTACTATTTTGTTTTTACAAGACGGGGTTTCCCGTTTCTCTGTGTAACAGCCCTGGCTATTCTGAAACTCAACTCTGTAGACCAGCTTGATCTTGAACTCAAGGGATTGCCTATCGGCCTCCCAAGTGGTGGGATAAAAGGCGTGAGCCATCACACCTGGCTGGAAATTACTCCAATTTTTAAAATTAAATAACTTGTTTCTTGTATTTAATATTGGGGGTTGAACCCAGACCTTTGTACACATGAGCCGTGAGTTTTGCCCTAGCCTCTCTACCCTATTTTATTAAAAAATAAAAATAGAGTCAAACAATAAACAACAGCATGAGTTGGGATGGGAAGCTCTGGGTTTTTAGACCTTTCTGCCTGGTTCTTTGCTAGTAAAATCTATCCTCGAACATTTAGTAAAGTGGCTCTTTGAGTCTCTGCTCGAAATTTCTATAAAGTAGCTTTTTTGGCGCACTTAAAAAGTACCCACAATTCCTAGCAAGAAAGGCACCCCGCTGACGTTGTGGCTGCGGATTGGTTGGTATTGGTGCTGGCCACCTGTAGTTGAGTGGGAAGCTGGACCAGATGGTCGCCATGATTGCCTTTGGGGCTCCTCAATCCCGAAGCTTCAGACTCCTTTTCTCCTTGACTCCACACCACTTCTTCCTGTTTTTAATTGGGACCCTGGCCAACAAACTCAATGTGCCTCAAGTGTTACTACCTTTCAGCCGGGAGCCAGGACGGGTGCCCTTCTTGTTGGAGGCTCAGCGGGGCTGCTACATCTGGTGAGCCGAGTGCAGAGATCTCGACCCCACAGTGAAGAGGAAAAGGATTACAGGAATCTGATGTGGTCCCACAGTGTGGAGGGGCCTGTATGTGGCATCCTTGGGTAGGATATACCCTAAATTGTGAGGCTCTTTAAGGAAAAACAAAGAAACAAACAACAAAGCAAAAAATCCCAAAACTAGGATGGGAGTCCGCCTCCCTGTTGAGATGGGTCAGTGTTAAGCAACTGTTGGCATAGGCAAGCCCCATGTCAGACAGACACTGCCGGCATTTGTTTTCCCCAATTTGAAGGATTTATGATGGAAACGGAAGCAGGTAAATTGAGAGGCACATTAGGAGACCCTGACAACAACCACCAAGCTATAGTACTAAGACACGATTCATCATGCATGGAGATGAGATAGGCCTGGGATATGCGAGTCCCCTTCAGTCTGTACAAGGGGATTCAGTGCAAGTAGGAAGGTGGGTAGTCTGCTCTGGGATAACGACTATAAACTTTCCGAGTATAAGAGAGTTCAGTGGCAGGTGACGTGGTTACCTGAACTGTAAGGGAGTTTAACCAAAGGAAGCCCTTAGATGCCAGAACATTTATTCTAAGTGAAAGAAAGTTCCCCTTCCTGTAACTTTGCAGATCAGAGGGTTGGAGTAGGGCTTTGCGAGTGCTAGCAGCCCTCTTCTTAGGTGCTACATCCTGAGCCCCTTTCTTGCCTCCTAGGAAACCCAGTGAGGTTTTTATTTTTATCCCAGAGTACAAGAACTTCAGCTCTCTTCAAGTATAAGGAACTTAGTTTTGTGGGCAACCCAGCGTGACGTTCATCATTCAGGAATCCGTATAGTACTGAGAGCATTCTGTCTGTCAAGATGCTAATGATTATTTTGTGTTTTTGTTTGATCTCAGAATGTAGGCAACTTTCCATTTTAGATAGCTGTTCAATTTCTAGGTTTACAGAAAATTATTTTTCAAGGTAAGAGGAAGCTTTGTCTTGTTGCGAACACAGACACAATGCTATTTTCCCACACTGTGAGTATTTTTTTTTTTTATTTTGGATTTCCTTCTTTTAAGATTTATTCTGCCAGGCAGTGGTGGCGTAAGCCTTTAATCCCAGCACTTGGGAGGCAGAGGGAGGCAGATTTCTGAGTTCAAGAGTTCGAGGCTAGCCTGGTCTACAGAGTGAGTTCCAGGACAGCCAGGGCTACACAGAGAAACCCTGTCTCGAAAAAACCAAAAAACCAAACCAAACAAAACAAAAAACCAAAAAAAAAAAAAAAAAAAAAAACCCACCAAAAAAAAAAAAAAAAAAAAAGAGCCTACAGTAGGGAGTCAGAAATCCTGTGACATGGCATTCTTGCTTTGGTACTCAGAAGAGAGTGTGAGATTCTTCAAGGCTTCCAAAGTTTCGTGGGGGGGGTGTCTAGGGTCATTTGGGGAGATCTCCTCGGGGTTCTTCCTGGTGGTCCCTCTTGCTGTCGAGTGGTAAGTATACATTTCCCAAGTCATGTACAGTAGTTTGTTCCCTAATTCTTTTGGAAGAATTTGGCATGTGCTTCCACTCTAACCCTTGGTTCAGCTTTTATCTGTGGGCCTTAGACAACTGCTTGAGCTCCACCTCACACCTTTTCTTGAAGAACCAAATCCTGGGGTCTCCTTTTGTCAGTTTGAGTGCAGCAGCCAAGGCCTCCAGAGTCTCCTCATTAGGGTTGGGGTCTATCTGGTGAGTCCTATTTTAAACATTGTGGGAGGAATAACGTTTTAGATCTTTGTACAAGAGATCATTGGAAAATGGTTCTCGTCAATCCTGGTTTTAATTCTTGTGTCTTCTAACAGTGGTTCTGTAGAGTGTCATCAGACATACCTGCTGGTATGTAACATGGAAAACTATAGACACTTCTTGCCTGTGTTGGCTGGACCTGTGCATTTATCTCATGCTCTAAACCATG